AAGAAAATTTTATAGCTTTTTATTTGTTTGTAACTCGCGCACACAAAAAACAAAAACTTATGTCACTTTATGTTTTTCTTTTTAAAATTTAATTAAATATATTAACCGTGAAGCATGTTAGAAATCTTAGGAAAACAAGGTTCAAACCCCATTAATGCGGAATTATGAAAATTTTTTAATAGAGGAGTCTGCAGAAAAAGAAAAAAAGCAAAATGTAAATGTAGGAATGTTTGGAAAGAAACAACATTATTTTTTTCAAAAATCCAAATATTAAACTTTAGCTTCTTCTTTTTAGTCTAAGTGCTTGTTCAACAAACAAAATTATTTATTTAGAAAAAAAACGTTTAAGCAAACAGCTAATGTAGAATTTTTTAATTAAAAATTTTCTAACAAAGTTTTTTTAATTGCTTTTGAAGAAATTTACTGGAATGAAGATAAAAAATATATTTTGAACAGATTGTACTAATGTAGCAGAAAAGTACCGGCCAAAATTATCTACTCCAGCCAGCCAAGTGTAAGTTAACCTCCTCGAAATGCCAGCTATGAAAGTTTTTTGATAGTTCTTGAGAAAATTTTTAAAATGAGAATTAAATCTGGAGCAGTCTCAGATCAAATTTTATGGTATTGAAGTTATATTCCGAAGCCATCTCTATATTGCATTCATTTGGGAAAAAAAGAATCTTCAATCGGTTCTTGAAAATATCACGATGTTATTAAATGTTTAATTCGTTTGTTCGTTCGTTCGTTCGTTTGTTCATTCTTTGTTCATTTTTGGCGACGCTTGCTGGTTAAAACAACTTTAAATGTACCATGAGGAAATTTTTATTCTCAGCTAAAATCTAATAGATGTAAATCAATATACATTGAAAGTCTGTAAAATATGGCAAGTAAGCTAACAGATTTTAAACATATGATAGCAAAAAACCTAATCAAAATAAATACACAAAGAAATCAACTAATTTTTTTAACTTTTCGAGAAGTTTTTCAAACAATTAACTAAAATAGAAAGCAGTAAACAAACAAAAATACACAGTTTTTCACGAGTTACAAAGTCCTAAACAGTCAAACTTCTGAATAATTAAATGGTAAATGAAGTGAACAAAATGAAAACATGCAATTTTAAATATGATTGGTATTTAAAATTTCAAAATTATACTGAAATTATAGATAACAAATTAAATATTTGATAGAAATAAAATGAAAATAAGCAAATCAAACATAAAATCGTCTTCATTTAGATCCTTCAAACATTCTTAAACTAGCAAAGCACTGGCTTCATGCAACTGTAACAGCCAAACCAATCCGGACAGCAGAGTGTACCCTTGGCACATTTCATTGTGAAACAATTCAGCGAACATTTTTGGCAATAGTTTTGAGGAATGTTAAAAATCTTTGGTATAGTTGGTTTTGGGCAGCCTTTTTGTTAAATAAAAATAGTAATTATTTTTATTATTATAATTAATATATTTTAAAATTGTAAATATTATATTGGTAGATATCGAAATAATATTATTAAATCTGTCATCCGTTTGTGTCATAATTTCGCTTTTCCTTAAAAACTTTAAATATGAAAATAAAAGTTATGTTATTGATAACATTATTGATTAGTAAGCTATCTTAGAATAGTCATTTGAAAGTTTCATATGTTTTAAACACACAAATTGCGTTCTTCAATTTCATTTGAAAATACAATTTACGACAGTACCTACCCGCAAACTGTGAAATGAGGTTCAAATTATTGAAACTTAGATAACAAAATCATAAAAAGTTTTAAACAAAGTTCATCACAGAGAACAACATTTTTTTATAAACTCACACAACTTGGGCATAATTGGAGAAAGGCAGTCGTAACCAGCTAGTGGGTTGGAAGCGTTTCTTGGAACACATGTTGTGCCCGGTTTGCATTGAACGTTCTCATTCTGAAACAATGTTCCCACAGTTAACATAAAGGACGCAAAGGTTTAAAACTTATTTGTAAAAAAATATTTAGAAATCTCAGTTCCTATATAGTGTTACAAATTATATCTTCATGTATACGTTACTTAAACATTTCTTTTTTATTATTATTATTCTTTAAAATCAGGATCTGACAGACGCAGAAACTGTAACAACATGCGAGGCAGTAGAACAAAATTAAACAAATAAGAAAATAAATACAAAAAGTGAGGAAGAGAAATGATGAAACATGAAAAATAAAATATGTTAGACTAAAATAAATAATAATAATAAGAGAAATAAAAGAAAAGTAATTGACGATGGAATATAAAATGAAGTAACGGCAAATTGATAGACTAGAGGATGACTTAGTGAGGTGATCGATAAAAATAAAGGCTGGACTTGGTTGTGAAAAATATTTCTTAAAGTTGACTCATTTCAAATAGTAAATCCGTGGTTAACAAAAAAAAATCAATTTTTTCAAACCATTAACTAAAAATCTATTCACAAAAAATTGAGGTAACCTCGCAAGCGTTGTTGCATTTACAAGTTAGACAACCATTGGCGTCTGTCCAGTACCCACTAGCACATTCATTCACACAGCTGATAGGACTACACTCTTCATAAAAAAAAAAATTATTTCAATAATTTTTTTTAGTTTTATTTTACCGTTTATTTTCTAAAAGTAAAATTTTGAAAAAGATCAGTTAAATTATTGTAGGTCGATATATTAGATCTATTTGTTTTTATTCAATTTGAAAAACTGATTGGTTAGATTTTAATAATAACCATAGTTTTTACCATATAATAATAATTATTGGAAATTGGATTGTGGGTTTTCACAAAAAATTGACTAAAAATATCTTTCATAAAAATATTAAGTAGTAGAAAAACGAAAAAATGCTTGCATAGATACAGAACAAAGTTAAAAATTAAAAAAAAATTCTCTCTTCAAACAAACAAAATCTAAAATTCAACATTTGCGAATAATCTACAAAAATTAAAAATTAAACTTGCTAGGAACGCATTGATAGTCCGAACAACCAGTAACATTACACACGTTCTTGCAAACATGATCTGGAGCACAAGGTATCGTCTGTGTTAGAAACAAAAGTTCATTCCAATCACTTTTTTCTCATTCCTACTATTACTACAACAATTGCTAGTACCGCTACTGCTGCTGCTACTACTACAACTACTATTACTGCTTCTACTACTATTAGTACTACTACTACTACTTCTAAAAAAGTGAAACTAACTCTGCAATCTCTTGGACAGACACAAATCGGACATCCAGCTTCGTCGAGATCTAGTTCACATGGTTTCAAGCATTTCACTTGCAGCTTTGGGCAAATTGGCAAGACTGGTGCTGCAAATTGGAAAAAAATGTTGTTTGTGAACGTGTGAAATTGTGTTAAAAATTCACGATATTTATGAGAATTTTCTTTTCCAATAATATTTTCATTCAAGATAATTACTCAACGACATATCTATCGACTTCGAACTTATTAATTTCAGTAAAACATATGACTAGACACAGTTATCAATAAGTAAACTTGTAAATAATCTTTAACAAATTTAAATAAAAATCAACATTGGCAAAACTTACAATTAATAGACTCTGACGTATAAAGGTTCAACAGGAGGACCAACGAAGCAGTTACAAAGACGAACATGATTGAAATGACGATACCTACTATAACAGATCTAGAAGTAGTAGTAGTAGCAGCAGCAGCAGCAGCAGCAGCAGCAGCAGCAGTAGTAGTAGTAGTAGTAGTAGAGTTGACAGTATCTAATAGTATCTAACTCTTTATGCTAATGTTTGAATTGTAATAAGTTAGCGTTGAAGATTCCTCTTTATATACCAATTCGCCAAGCAACTTCAGCACGATTCTAACATTTAAAAATAATTTTAAATCGTGTAACTATTAATGATAATATTATTAATTAATAATTTATATCTATTATTTATTATTATTATTATTATTATTATTATTGTAGTCATAATTTGAAACTATTATTAGTAGTAATAATTTACGAACAAACTCGTGACAAAATATTATTGTTGCGAAAAATTTTATGAGGTTTAGTTCGGCTCTAGAAGAATTATTTTCCATACAATGACGATTGAAAAAGCGAAGCCATTCACAAATAATTTGAAATAATAGTGCTGAGCGCCTAACTGAAAAGTTGTAGGAGGCTTTTTATTGACATTAATCATACATTCGCTAAATTTTGTTGCGATTTTCAGTGATTCATTCGGTGCTTTGCTAATAATAGAGTTGCCATTAAATAAAAATACGTCATGAGTATAGTAAAAAATAAATAAAATCAATTTTTAGCTTATAGAAAATATTATTTTATTACAGATTTCAAATTGGCTTGCTGATACTTATAATGGTTAATAGAAGTCAATTTCATTACGTTTTTGTGAGATAATTTAAGATATAACTCTAATAAAACATGTATTTAAGTTATTAAGAAATTGATAAAAAATTTCAAACTTGCAAACTTTTAAAGCACAGTCATAGAATCAGGTATTTTATTGATTGTAGTAGTTTGAGTGGTTATGTAGAGTTACATAGAGTTGCGTGGTTATATAGAGTTGCCTGGTGATTTAAACTTTGATAAAATTGTAAGACATTACATAAACATAAAAAATAAAATCTAGTAGTTTTTGGAAAAAATTATTGAAAACGTCAAGAAATAAAATAAAGAGATATATAACAAAAAAAAAACATTGCTGTTAACCAGACTAGAGAATTAGATCGGGAAGAAACAAGTTAATGGTATTAATGGCACGTGTCTTATAACACGGTTCAAGAAATAATTAGATGATGATAGACTAAGTTTTTTTTTGGACCAATTTAACACCGTTCTATCACCAGACATTTTTGCTTGAACCTACTTTCTGAGTTGAGAACGAGATAATTTAGGCAAGGTTTGTAGCGGCTTTAGTGTTAAGGGGTCACTTTTTATTGTTTTTCGTTTGATGTTTCTTTTATTAAGATATATACATTGGTTTTCTATCTTTTTCAAAAATGAATTTAATATAAATATTTTATAAAAAAAACATTTTAATTCTAAAACAACCAAAACGTTTATGAATATGAACCAAATTTTCACCTAAATAATTTTGAATAAATTAAAATAATGCACAGCGCCTGTGAGTTATAAAAAATTTTCATTAAACATTTTTGTTTTATTAATAAATAATAATTTAGCAATAAGCAATTATCTAAAAATAAGTTTAAATAATAAACACTGTTTCTTTATTTTTTTTTAAATTGAACTAATTTTACCAAGAACTAACCAAAAAACATTATAGTACTAACAATGAAAAACTCTGATTGGCGACGAAAGCGTTAGCCAAACTACCTATAAAATAAATAATAAATGCATTGCGTTATAAAATGTTTGGAGATTAAACCAGACTGAAATCTATCCATAATCATATCTGTATCATATATGACATATCACTATATTATCTATAATATGGTAACATGATAATACGGATGATATCATATAAAGTAAGTCATTATAATGTAAAAAATATGATATAGCTATATCATATAGGATTGTGGCACCATGTAAAATATCTCGATATCCTATTAAATCTCATGATATCATATAATGATATCATGTAGAATGTCATGATACTGTACATAATATAATTGAAAATATTGCGATCAGTATTAAACATTAGCAAATAAAAATAATTTTCATAGACATGTAAAAATAATTTGTAATAGGCCGCATTAAATTTAAAATACCTGAAAACTACATTAATCTTATTCAAACATTCACACCAGCACTTGCCAATTATCGAACTTTAAAAATCATTTTCTCGATAATCAAAACATCCAAAAAGTCCTTTCAAATTCATTTAAAATTCTATTCATCATTTTACTTAACATCAAGCTATATCTAATAAATAAACATAAAAACCGAAACTATAAACATAAAAGATCATAAAAAAAAGAAGTCCGTATAAACATGTTTATCGGAAAATCATTAGACGTCACGCACATACAAACATACTGTCAGGCACTCTCACACGATCTACATGGATTGCATGACACAATCTACATGAGCCGCAGAGCAGACATAGTAAGAGCCAGCATTGAAAGAAGAAACACTAGAGAACACGTGAACTGGCTTGAATGGTTGCAGTAGTCAGTTTCACAAACACATTGGAGATCGTACGTAGAGTCCCCTGTGTTCGACTTTATGCAGCCTTTCGGATTCAGCTCTGCGACGCACTGTCTATATACATCGCTGACTTGGCCTGTGTATGGTGATTGAGTTTAACAGTTTTGTTCTGTATTATACAATGATTTGTATTTTGAGATTTACAATTTATAATTAATGACTTGTAGTTTAAGTCAAGAAATTTTCATTTAATGACCAAATAGAAAATAAAAAAAACGTTCCCAGCAAAATCGCTCAACTGACAAACATCAACACCAATTCAACGATGGCAAGGAATTTTTTTTACATTTATAAAATCAATTAAGCATTTTATTTTATATTTTCAAAGATTTTTATTTACCAATCGTTTTCATACTATTTTACGATATGTTGTGTTGTTTGGCGTGTTGTTTGGCGTGTTGTGGCGAGGCGTGTTGTGGCGAGGCGTGGCATGGCGTTATGTCCCGCAGCGTTTCACTAAACCATGTTATGGCATTACAAAAGAGCAAGTAGGACCTAACCGTTTTTGTAGTAGGTAACAGAAGAGCAATAGTTCCCAACACATTTGATCATACCGGCGGCATTCTTATCGAAATTAGCTCCGCACCCAGTCGCTAGGGTATCCGTTGAACATTCGTAGCAGGTAAGAGCCATAGAGAGCTGGGGTAGGGTAGCCATCAGGATTGTCCAGAGCAAAGATATTGTGACAGCCAGCGAAGTTACGGGTGGCATCTGTAAGGAATGGTTTGTTATTTTAGTGTGGTGTGATTTAAATTTGTTTTGTGAAAGTTTAAAACAAAAATATACGAACGTTTTTAAAATATGGATTTTTCAAAAAGTATTAAATTTTATAAAAAAAAAAAAAACAATGAAAATTTAATTTTAAACTTTGAAAATTGTTATTTAAAAATATGAGCTGTTTAGATATTCCAAATATTACATACGGTATACATGCGTCTGCCATTTGAAACACATTTTATAATACAATTTCACGCACATACTTATAAGGGTGTATGTTTTAAAAGTTGAAAATTCACACGTGATAAAAACGTCAGAGAAAGAGAGAGAGAGGTAAAGAGAGAGAGAAAGAGAGAGAGATGAGAGAGAGAAAGAGAAAGAAAACGAATAAAACATCCATACTAGTGCTTAATACATATATTGATTTATAATAATACGCTATTTAATCAAGTATTCTTATTTTTCATTCCATTATTTTCTGAAGATGATAAATCGACTCTAAGAAAAACTAACAGAGAGAAAAAGAGAGAGAGAGAGAGAAAGAGAGAGAAAGAGAGAGAGAGCGATTCTTCGACATGTCATCAGAGTGAATTGAATGACGAAAATCATACATAGATGTATGTGTGTGTAAATATCATTGTGTGGTGTGTGTGCGCGTTTGTAAATATCTGTGTGTGTGTGTGTTCGTGCAGATATCTGTGTGTATGTGTGTGCGATGAGTGTTGAGGGAGCGATGTGTGTGTGTGAACAAGTATGTTTGTGTATGTCTGTTTGCAAGAGTATGCGTTTGTGATATATGCATGTGTATGTGTGTGTATGTATATGTGTGTGTGTTTGTGTGTGTGTGTGTGTGTGTGTGTGTGTGTGT